TTTTCAATTTGAATAAAATCTTTGATTAAATAAGAATTTTATTTCGAATATTTTATTTAAAATTTAATACTAATAAATAAAATAATGTTGTCTCTATAACTGATTAATAAAATATCCTTACCTAAAATTAGTAACTTGATTTTCAAGAAATTGTTTTAATCGTTCTTTTATTTCACTAAATCCATCTCTTTCTTCCATAGTTATTGTTGAAACATTATTATCAGGTCTAAATAAAAACTCAAATTAATTTATTTAAAATAAATATTTTAAAATAATCTAACCGATTTCCGGAAACATGAGATGTACAAAAAACATAACTATAATGAAGTAATTGAGGATCAATCATAAATCCTTGTTCAGCTCTATCAAGTAAATCATTTAAATAATAAAGATGTCTTAAACAACCACGAACACCATATCGAGAACAATATTCTATTTAATAAATATATTATATTAGAATTTTATTTAATTGAAATAAATAATACCTTCAAGTACATAACTTTGTACTGGACTTAACCAACCCTAATAAATAATAAATAGTTTAATTACACAAAACAAACAATATTTTATCCAGTCACCCAAGTTTAATCATTTATTTTAAAAAAAAGAAAAGCTCTTTCAACTTACTTCTAATATTTATCTTTTCTTTTTTTTCGATAGAAAAATAAATCAGTTAAAGATAATGAAAAAAAAAATGGTGTGTTTTTTTTTGTTGTTAATATTTACCAAAGAACAGTATGGATCATTAAGTCGAAAATCTAATGTTGCCGTTTGTAATGTTTTAAATAAATCATGATGATCAAATTTACATGGATCACTTTGTATATATTCATCAAAACCAAGATTTTTTGAACGATCAGAATCTAAATAAATAAAAGATAAATATTAGATTTCAAAATTGATGTTATTATTAACCTGAAAGATCTTTTTGTCCTGATGTTGAATTTGATTTATTAATTTGTGTTATTGGTGGTGTTGGTTTATGTGATTGACCAGTAGCACGATATAATGCTTGTACCCAACTATGTCGTTCATTTTCTTCATTTGTTGCAAATGTAACAACATCACCTTCACGTACAGCTTTAAAAAAATATTTTCCATCATGCATTATTAAACCTTTTAATAGTCAAATATTTATTTATTTAATTTCTTTACCATTATCAGGTTCAGCATAATCAATAGTATAACCTTCAAGTGGCATCATTTCAGTTGGTTCGAATTTTCTTTCACGATAACTACATGTTGCAAAACAATATTGAGATACCTAAAAATCATTTGTTTTTGTCATTTATTTAATAAACATATATTAATTTCTATTTGTTAAATCAATCACAAATTATTTTCTTTGATATATATATAAATGAAAAAATCTAACTCGAACTGTTATCTTATTAATAAATTCATTAATATTATCTCTCTAGAATAAATTCAACAAAGTTAATATTTACATTGAATACCCTCGATGATAAATTCATTATTCTATATATAATTTCAATAGTAAACACTTGAGATTTCAAACAAATATTCTTCAATGTCAAACTAATCCTTTTCTTCTATACCAAAACCAAATTCCTATAATCACACGTTTTTTTTTCTATTGTCTACTTAATCAATATTTCACATTGAATATTTATTCAATATATAAATATAGATGACAATTGACACTTGTTAATTATCGTTTTTTTTATTTTGTTTATTTGAATAAATATAAAATCTAAGACTTATTTACCTGAACAAGTGCATAATATCGTCGTTTCCATGTTTTCCATACATTTTTTCCTCTAGCATAGCACCATCTTTGAATAATAAAAGAAAAAAAAATTGGTAAAAATTGTTTAAAATATTGTATGAAATGTAACCATACCCACACATTTTAAGATTTTGTGGTTTTTCCATTCTAACATCTAATTTAACTTTTAATTGTTCATTTGATGTATATTTACATTTAATCATATCAATCCACCAATTTGTTTTATTAAAAGTGGGATCAATTTGTAAAGATAATTTTCCAAGTTTATCATCATCTAAACTAAATAAACCAGGATTTTCCATAAAAAGTTTAACTTTAAAAAAACAATTCAATTAATTCTACATCATATATATATACAAGAATTATTTTAGCAAGTTGTAAATAAACTTGAAGATTTTTTGGTTGCATTCGTAAACATTCTTTTAATATAAGATAAGCACGATATGATTGACCTGATGATATTAATGATAATCCATAATTAAACCATGTTTGAAAATGTTCAAATGAAAAACGAAGAACTTGTTCATAAGACTAGACATATATAGATATATTATATTATTATAAAAGATTAAAAAAAAAAATTTACATCAGCAACAAGAATCATCAAATGATTTAATTATTTCAAATAAATTTTCATTTTTTTTTCTAATAAAAGTCCATTAAGTGCATAAATTTCTGCAAGTAATAAAGAAGATCTATTTGATTGTTGATTAATATCATTTGGTATTGAACTAATTGCTAAATTAACATATGTTAAACATTCATCATAACGTGATTGAGCATAATATAATTTAGCTAATAAACATTGACCTTCAAATGAACGAATTGATCCACCTGATTTAAGAAGATTTTCAACACGAATCAAATCATTTCGAGATTGTTCTATATGACGATAATCAGTTAATGGATATTGTTGTAAATAATATTCTAATTGAGCTTCTCCTTCCAAAAATTTAACATATTCTTTTCAAATAAAAAACAAAAAAAAACAAATTACATTTTAGATTTTTATTTAAAAAAAACCAAACTAAGAAATAAAACCTGAAACTTTTACACTTTTTAATTTATCAAGAATTTTAGCCCAATTAAGTTCTAAACGATATTTTTCTATTTCAGGATCTAATCGATGTTTTCCACTATGAGAATTAGTTGTTGGTGTTCCTGTTGCCATCAAATTCTTTCATTAAAATAATCGAATAAAATCAAAAATATGATTTTTTTTTTATTAGTACATTGTCTGGCGAAAACAATGTAACTAGAATCACCAATTGACAACATGATACACTACCAGTGGAGACATCTAGTTCACATCTACACAACAGAAAAAAAATTATTATAGAATTACTTTATATTAAGTTCTCTTTTAATTTGTATATTTTATTTTCGATCAAACTGAGTTTCACGCGGAAGATGTCCCTACACTACAGCTGTAAAACTAGTTTCATATCAATCAATACAGAGGAGGCTGTGTCATAATAATAAAGTGTGTAACCTAGGATGACTTATCTGTCTAATTCACTTTTTGAAGTACACATAACTCTCGGATTTAAATCCGAAGTTTCCGCATTTATTTTTTCTTATTTCTTATTTAAATATATTTAAATTATTTTTAGGTGAATGTGTTCTTCTTATGACACATTTACCAATAGGTTCTAAATTATCAAACAATTGTAAAGCTGATATTCTACTTGATCCAAAACATCGATCATTAAATTTATTTGTAAATAAACGTATTACTGGTAATAATTTAATTTTTTAAAATCAATTTTCGATTATTTATTTATTTATTTATTTAGGTTGGTGGCCATTGATTGCTCCATTAAAAGTTGGAGAAATTCGTGACACAACTCTATTAGGTGTAAGTGACAATTATAGATAAAATTTTGATAAATAAAATTCATAATTTCTCTTTTTTTGCTATTAATAGGGTAAAGTTGAAGCTGAATTTACTCTTCTTACAGCTGAAGAAGCTGAAAAAAATCCTGTTGGAAAAGGACGTGAAGGACCACAACCACTTGATGAACCAAAGTTTGTTTTATTTAATTAATTTATTTGAAAAAGATATTTGATTTATTTTTTGTTTTTGCTTAGTCGCCCAAAAACTTCATTTCAATGGTTTACATCTCCATGGAAAACATTTCGATATATTGTTTGGCGTAATTTTAAATGGTCAATTATTATTGGCATAATTATATTTATTTTTGTTGTTTGTTTTTTACTGATATTGTGGTCACTGCCTGGAGAATTAGTTCGACAAATAACAAGCCACGTTTTTAAAACAAATACTGGCAAAAAATAAAGATTATTTTCTATTAATAAATACAAACTTATTCTCTCATTTTTTTTCTTTTGTTGTTGTAATATTTAACATTCAATAAAAATTATTTATCCTAGTCGGTAATTTTTCGTTTTATTTTAATCAGGAGGACGAGAGGGTGTGAGTGTAGGATGGGGATGGGGATGGGTTAAGAAAGGAGCAACACTCCTCACTCAAAAAGTAAAATAATCGTTAGAGGGCGTTCGTTTAATAATGGTGCTGCAGATAAAGGACAACATTCCGTACCATCAAATCACTTTCATCATCAACTGTATAGACTGGTCATGCACGAAATTCGAACTTTGGCTTGATGTTTAGAACGAACAGTTCACAATCGGATAAAAATGAAACTGATAATAATACGCATTCTTCGAGAAAAAAAAAAGTAACAACATTATCAAATACGAAATATACTATGATTGTAAGAGACATGTCTGCTTCTACAGAAAAAGCGTTTTGTTGAAAGTAGCAATGGATGTAGTCTGCCAATCATGTAATCAATAAGTGTTTACTGACAGGTATTACAGAAAATACTTTTCGAGAATTTTTCGCCTTTTCACAAGCAGAGTTTCTTGTTATTAGGTTATAATAGTTAACCAAAGAGTTTACTTTTTAAGAAAAACAAACCTATTTTTGTGTACTCAAAAAGTGAGTACACTCTAGAATCGGTCAGTGTGTCCGTCCGTCCGGCCGTCCGGCCGTTAACACGATAACTTTTGAAAGGAGAGTCCGATCGCGATGAAATTTTCTACACAGTTTAGTCTCAACAATATCTCGGTCGAGTTCGAAGATGAGAAGAATTGGCCCAGCCGTTCCTGAGTTATTGCCAAAAATACTCATTTTGTCCCTATGGCTTCCTATAGGAAAATCGATCCATCCCCACTTTCGTAAAACACTTTCCCTATCATAGTCAAAGCAAACCCCAACTATTATATACCATTCGATAGAGAATTTCACGAGCTACAAAATGGTATATAAAACATAAAGAAACAACAAGGCTAGCTCACCTATTGCAGAGATAAACAAACGGAAATCAGTTCTGTTTTTGTCTGCGCTCTAATCGATCCACAAGTAGAGCTCTATCTTCCGATCACAGAGATAATACTTCGAGGTTTTCTAGGATGAAGAACTCGAATCTGTAATCCACTTGACTCGAACCCCCATTGGTTGAACACTGACCAATAGAAATCAAATTATAGGAAAAACGAGTTTTTTAGGATAACTCAAGGCGAAGAGTCCAAATCTGAGCTATATTCACTCCGAAATCCTATTGGTTGAGTAGTAGCCAATAGAATTCAAATGTTTATAGAAAGGATTTGCCAGGCTAATTTTTATATCCGCACATTCTAGGATGACCGATTTGTCTCATTCACTTTTTGAAGTACACATAACTCTCGGATTTAAATCCGAGGTTTCCACATTTATTTCGTTTAAATGTAACAACAGTTTATTGCATGAGTGCATAAATGCAAGTAGGAATAGATCTGATCGATAAAATGAATGGCTGTTTTTTTTTCATATAAAGCAGTTATCAAACAAAAACAATTCAATGAATCGACGGAAAGAGTAATCAGTGGAATTTAGAGAAAAGTTAGGGCAAGTACAAGTAACGTACTGTCTGTTTAAAAATAAAATGGTCTCCACCATTTTTTGAATAACTTGAGAATGGAAACAGCTAGCGAGCTGCGACTTTCACCATTGTATAGAGCTTGTGGTATTCTATCAATTCACTAATAAAACATTATGCGCATAGACTTTTCAGGTAATATTCATTAACAATCTTTGAATGGTTAGACCACAATTATCTTAGGTTTTATAGTAATCTATAGTTTTTATACATAGAAAAAGTAGTCTAGAGGATCCTCCACGAAACGGCGAAAGGCCGACCTCTCTAGCTATTATGGTTAAAAAATGGCACACATTTTCCTGAAACCTATGCAAGTGATTTTTCCCGGATAGACTGAACAGCACATATGTAGAGCAAATCACTTTGTTGATCATAATTTACTTAGTGGAAATGGATATTCTAGATCTCCAACAACTTTCTTCATTGAATAAGAAGAGTTATAATATGCGTCAAGAGTGTGGATCGAAAATATAGTACAAAAATACAAAAAAAATAAGAAAAGTATTTTCTTATGAGAAGTATGTTACGCAATATTACTTATTCACATAAATGAACATTTTATTCTTATATGTAATGTTTATTTTGTATACATCCTCTTCGTCATGTTGTGTTAGTGTTCTAATAGTACTTGATTTGTTTTCACTTCAAGAGTTTGATCATTCAGGGTTGCTCAAGTAACAACATAAGCAACGTCCACAAAGGTGCATCCATAAGCGCATGCACTAGCTAACGATAGTATGATAAAAAGACGATTGCAATGCTTCTATACAATCCTAAGAATAATCATTCAGCATAGTGGAGAACACTCATACAAAATAAATATTGCATATAAGAATGAAATGTTCATCTATATGAATAAGTAATATTGCGTAACATACTTCTCATAAGAAAATACTTTTCTTATCTTTTTTTTGCATTTTTGTACTATATTTTCGATCCACACTCTTGATCCATATTATAACTCTTCTTATTCAATGAAGAAAAGGAGGTGATTTTTCCGGGGAAGGAACATATGGATCTCATAGAGCTTATCCAGTTCTACTTGGAATGCTGCTGATCTGAGTTGGAGTGCACTTCAGTGCAAATCCATTCAGGAAAATGTCGAATCCTGACCTAAGATATCCTCGTGGTAAAATCCATCATACGAACAAAATAACTGATTTTGTTATTCCAATAAATTAAAATAATTTTTTAATTAAATATTTTATTGACTATTTTCATTCTTGAAAATAATAAAATCCTTTGTTTTTTTTTAAACACATAAATCAAATAGAATATTAAAAAATCGATTCTTAATTATTTATTGATGAATCGAGCACACATCACATATCAAATATATTTGTTCGACATATTTTCTTTATTCAAATATCAATAAATGTCCTTTCTCTCTTCCATTAATGATGTCATTTCATTACCAATGAAATATTCATATATAACAAAAAGTATGCTTGTCTTCTTCTGCATCTGTTCATAAAACAAACAAAGCTCGACATGTTCGCTTTTTGACAGTTTTGTACCTTTCAGTGTACATATTCAGCATATATAAATTGATTTAAGAATTGTTAGTTGAAAGGAATACATCTCTTTCATATTGCTATTATTAGTTATCTTTCTCATGGATTATTATTATACGAATTGGGAATTCTTTGTTCGATGTGCTACAAGTAAGTTCTCTATAAAAGCAAAAACTATTTATTTATTTATTTTTTTGTTAGATTAGTTTGAATATTAGTTATAGTTGTCTTTTATCTTTTGTATGTTCTATCCTTGATAACTTTTAATAATATGAGTTCATCAATGAATGAGTGAACTGTAATTCTAGTTAGAAAATAAAACAGTTACGAGAAAAATCATTACTCATGATCAACTTCATCAAAGATTAACATAATCCATTAATCTCTAATCATTTTACATAGAAATTGTATGAAAATAAAGACTAAGTTAAGATCATTATCTAACCGATGGACTTCAGTCATTTAAATATTTAATAAGAAAATATTTAAATTTTAATTGATTAATATTTGACAAAAAGACACGAATTAATTTATTCATATCGATTACCGATTGTTGATGTATTCTAATTGAAAAATAAGCAAGTCTCGAGAGTAATTATGAACCGGATTATCTATCAGTTGGATTGTGATTTAAAATGATCATGTCATTTTTGTCTTAACAAATACGATGTAGTTTGATATAAATGATAACTGAAAAAATATTTATGATGCACGTGGAGAATAACGGTTTGATTTAGACAATATATTTGAATATTAATTAATTTAATCTTTTTCTCGACGCTTGTTTCTGTAGAAAACGTCTTTGATATGTTTAAAAAGAAAGATTCTTTATCAGATAATATCTTTCCTTTTATCATAATCTTAATATTTTTCTTTATTATTTGTCTATAAGTAACTTTAAATACACCGAATGTTTAATTTGTAGTCGATAATTTAAGAATAATAAAGGAAAAAAAATTCTAATACAATAAATCAATAAATCACTTTTCTCCATTAATGAATTACTGTCTTAAAATTATAATTCGAATAGAAATGAAATCATAAGATTTTTTTATATGTGAAAAAAAAGTGATGATAACAATCAACATTAAATCTGAATATATCGAGTATTTAGTAGATTTGTAATTCATTTATATTCTGTTTACAAATTTTCTGATAATAATAATAATAGTTAGACTCTGAGTTTATTTAGAGATTGCAAATCTGGAAAAAAACCTAACTAATGAACAAGTTCAATATTTACATAAATGTAAGTATATATATTGTATTTTCATTCTTTTCAATACAAAATTAATTAAATTAGATTATAGAATGAATCAGATGCCCGAACGAATAGAAATTGAAGGAATAGCCAAACAATGGAATATTGATAATTTTGATTTGTCGGTTAGTATATTTTTTGTTCTATCTAATTAATATTGAAATTTGTTCATTTACAGAATTGGTTTTTTTGTCGATACATGATTGAATTCGAAGTTGAACAACGTCGATATGAAGCAAAAATGATTGCAGCTTAGTTTAGATATGAATTTCTTTTTTTTAACTTGTTGTAAATCTCATCATTCTCTAATTACAAGTTGACATTTGTACTTTATTTTGTGGAGATGATTAATAAAATCAAAAAATCGTTTATGTTCAATTGACTGATGCATTTATCCATTTTTGAATAATAATTATAAGATATTCAATCAAATGAAAATTGATTATTCTTAATTTGATCATATCAAATTGAGATTAATTCATAATATATTTCATCTATATCGTTATCAATATTTGTTTATGAATGTTATTGAATAAGTATGTCAGAACTACTTGATTTATTTTCCAATATTTTTATTAAT